GATCTGTTATAATATTATAAATATAGTTGTTAAGAATAAATAAAAATAATAACATTTATAAAAATAAAATAAAATAAATTTAAAATGAAAAATTCGTTAAAAAGTTATCATGGATATCTGGATAAATTAACTGGATATCTGGATGATTTAAGATATCTGGATAGTATTCAGCTTATACATATTATATCTGGATAAATTGGTTAGATATCCAGATTGGATGGATATAAGATAATCAGATATCCAAATGGACGGATATAAACTCTAGCTTGAGTTAAATTTAAATGAATTTCGCTTAAACTAAGAATATCTTAAATTATAGGTAATAAAAATTGTTCGATTTGGGTTATTTTTTTATTAGAAATGTAGCTTTAGACATTTTGAGTAGTGAAAGAAAAGAAATTTGGATCATTAAAATAAGAATAGGAATTGTCGTTTGTTAAAATTTTTTCATTATTTTTAATGTGAACTTGTTGAATACTATTATTATAATTGGATCAGTATACACTCATTAATTAGAAGATGTGGAAGCTTGAATCATAGAGCATAGAGCAGTTGAAATTTTATGAATTTTAGATCAGATATTATTAATAGAGGTTTCAACTAAGACAATTCTATTAATATCATTCATTTGTGTATTTAAAGAGTCAATTGGAGCATTGTAAGAGAACAATTTATCTTTGTTATTATTAGTGATAGGAGGATTAAGAGGCATACAATCCATTTCTTCATTACCATTGTGAAGAGTAAATTCGTATGTAGAGTCATCTACTTGATCAGATTATGTACTACATAGTGCATAAATTCAAGATGATTAAGATGAAAATCAATATTTTTCTGATTTTGATTTTGCTTAATAACTGCATTTTTTAAAGAGATAATTTCATTTCATTGAAAGAAGTTTATTTTTTATAATATCTAATTTTTCTTGAATAACTTTTAGGGTATCAATAATATTTGGAGAAACATTATGGCTCATACTTTGAGATGAATTAGGATTCCTAGTATTAGTGAATATTTGAAAGTATGATTTGATTGGATCTTTGTTATTATTATGATATAATTTTAAAGGTCAGTATTGCTCTAGTTTGAAATGATCATAGAGGGAATGATAAGAATTAACAGATTTACAATTGTTACAATTTTTGAATTCATGATCTGAGACACTGCAACTTCTGCAGTATTTTTTGGACAGTTTTATCTAAAGATGGAGCTGTAATTAATTTTAAAATTTTTAGCTAGTTGCAACTATTTATAATTTTTATATTAAAATAAATTTTGCAAGAAGTTGCAACCAGTTGCAACCTAAGTTGCAACTTACCGAGTTGCAACTTCTTAATTACAGTGCCATCTTTAGTGGTAAGTATCAATACCGTGACATAGTTATAATGGGACCTGATAGTTCTTCTCAGCCAACAGTTATTCTTGAGCTTTTAGCAACTGGAACACAAAATGATCTTGATGAACACTATGGACAAGCACTTAAATAAAAGAACTTAACAGACATTTTGAACAAATATTTAATTATACAGAAAACTGCTTTACAATTGAAACCTGGATGATTAATTTCACATATGCTGATAATGCTACTTTGTCTATCACACATACAACTGGAGCAGAGTCTTCATGTTATACATTTCTGGCATAATTTCCAATTTACAGACATGTGGATGGTATGAAAAGGGTGAAATAAAGGAACTTATAAATAAGCAAGTTCAGTTAAATATTAATGATGAATAATAAATAAATAGAATGAGAAAGAAAGGAGTTTAGCATAATTCACATTGTCATTATAAATTTTTTATTTGCTTTTTTGCATACTTGTAAAAAAAAATTATCGGTTTATTTTATTAAAATAAAAATCGCAATAATAAAAATAAATTAAAAATTCCAACCGAAAAACCGAAATTAAATATTGCCGGCCGGGCCAATTAATTTCTATAGCTATTAAACAATTGTGTTATATTAAACAAGGTGGAGGAAAAAATAGAAATACGGTTTGTTCGTTTTTATTAAATTTAATTAACAAATCAACAAAAAATAATAACAATCTTCCATTGGATTTTTGTTAATTTCATGTTTTGACGCTTCTTTACTTTAATCTTATTAAATTGAGTTCAAAATCCCGGTCAAAAAAAAAATTTTTTTTTCTTCCTTTGTTGAATATGACGCGACAAAATTTATTGGGATGGTTATAAGCACAGCAATGCAAAAAACTGTAAAAGTTAGAGTAGAAAGACAATTTATGCATCTCAAATACAAAAAGTTGGTATCTTTTCGAATCAATGTCATTCTTTAAATTATTTGATAAACTTAATTTTTTTTAATAGCATATAACGTTGGCACATGATGAAAAGGAAGGATGTTCATTAGTAGATATAGTAAGAATAGACCATTAAGTAAAATGAAAAGTTTTATAACTGCTGAAATAATAAGGATAATAATTGATTAATGTGATAAAGTCAATTCACTAATTGCTGATTTCGTATATTCCTGCAAAAAACCTGGGTTACTTTATTTCGATCACTTTTTAAAATAATTTTTTTTTTTTTTTTAATGAATAATATCAAGCATATAATTCAATGCGAAAAATTTCAATAGTGAAATTAATTCCCAATTTAATAATAATATCCAATATTTCCATCCTTTTTTTCTTCATTAGGCGGTTTAATAATTTCTACTGAAACGTTGTAATTGCCATTGAATATTTTCTGTTGAGAACAAATTTTTAAATAGTTAATTTGATTCTTCTTTTAATAAAGGTTCAGGTAATTGAAAATTGGCGAATGTTTTTCGATCTCGGGAATATTTCCAATACCTCCTGATAATAATAAATAATATATATATAATATATAAAGAATATGTCTTAAAAAAAACAGACATGACCAAATTTAAAGAAAAATCTTACAAATTTTGAGAGTTCTTGAACACCAAAATAAAACAATTAAATTTTATCGTAATTTTATAATTTTATAAATAATTAATTATACCGGTAACGATGCATTGAAAGCATATATTTTTTTAATTTATTATAAAAAAATTTTGAATAATACCTAATAATTCAGATTTCTTTTAAACGTGTTTTAAAACAGTTTTTATAACTTTTAGTATTTTGAGATATATTAGTTTTTATTGGAATTTGAGTCAGTTTAATATTTTTTATTTATAATAAAGCTTCGACCAGTTTATATATTATAAAAAACATTGGTAATTAGTGACATCAGCAAAGATTCTCCTTTATTTGTAAAAATCTTTTGTTTTTGATATAATTATGATTATTGTGGTTGCGCAGCATTTGATATGATTACAATAATATTTTTTTTTGTAAATTTAGAAGAAATGGCTTGGATATTATTAAAAGTTTTAAATTCTCGAATCTAATTTATTGATTTAATTAAACAAGACAGAAATATCAAATATAATTATGATCCCTTAATATTTCAGCAATTATTTTTTATAAAAAGAACTTTTATTTACCTTTCTCATTAATTAATATAGAATATCATAATGTTTTCCGAAAAAAATTTATAGTTTTACACTTGATGATCCAATCAAGTTTTAAAATCTTCTAGTTTGTATTTAGTCATCATCTCATTGTAAATCGTGATCGGCAAAGATAATGAAATTTGCCTTCTTGAGGTATGGTATGACAAAAAAAACAGGTTGCGATCTCCTACATATAATCAATAACATCGTTCACACATTTAATCCATTATGAATACTGTTGTAATAACAAAAAATCTTCGAACCTCTTCTTGATATTGGTCAGAGCTTGTTTTCGACAATATGGGAGGTTTGCTATTAAAATTCATGTTCGGATCATATGATTACTAAACGTCCCATATGTTTGAAAGGTGCACCTCTTTCTGAACTGATTTCTTTTGATTGGATGTTGACATGATCATCATCAATTTCTGCAAAATTTTTTTTTCGGAAGTATCCAAAGATGTCTGGTTCCAATCCATTTATAAATCTAAAAAGAGAAATTAGTCATCTCGGTATTTTTGCAGGCGAAAAATATATTTATTCACTTAGTTTACTGAAAATGTAGAAAAAATAGTGCTTTTGAATCACATATTCGTAGCAAAACAAGCAACGTACGAACCTATTATTCGATCTCTTAAACATATCTCAAATATTCTTGGCAATATTCTTCGTTACGAAAATTTTCTTGCTGATCAGGTGAGTTTAGTTGCGAGTAATTTGATCTTTTCACACTTGGTCATTAATATTCTTTTTGTTTTTTCACATCATTTAAAGAATGATGATAGCAAATTTCTGAATTGTTCCAACTAATCAAATAAATATAAATATAAGCGAAAATTCAAGTAAGAAAATAAGTTACAAGATTCTACATTATCGAAGAAGGATTTCTTTAACTTCTTTCTGTATATACCCATTTTTTTTATATATAAAATGTAAAAAAAACGTTTCAGTTTTTCATTTTCCCACGAAAAGTTTAAAAATTTCGAACATAGCAAGATCAACAGTCACGGTGATTTTTTTAGTCAATATATTAATTAGACTGGCCTTTTGACTCGATTTTAATAAAACATGATTATTATTAAACTGAGAATGTATTTACAATTAATCTATTGGCTTCCTTGCTCTTGTTGGTTTTTGTTATAGCTAAATCTGAAATCTACCTATATTTAAGCTGTTAAAGCAATAATTTTATGAAAAAAAATTTAAATTCATCAAAATGTTATTAATTCTGTTGAATGTGATTCATGTGAGGGTATTAATTTCGGTTTTAACATTATTTTGCGAATCTCGGACTTTTTCAAAAACTCCCAGACATCTGAACTTTGAAGTTGTTGTAACTTCGGTTGCTAAAGAATCGAGAATTTAATATTTATGCCAAAAGAAAATTAATCAACGTATGATCCCGATCAAATCCCACGGTCTTATGATTGGGTCGCGATCTACAGAGATCATTAACATCCCTACTCGTGTTATTTATTTTAATAAAAATCCTTTGGTTAACTTTATCAAGTTAGAACATGGAAAAACAACAATTCGTCGAAGAGCCGGAGGAACTAGATTCATCTAAAGATATTCCTATTGGAGGTGGTGATTTGAGTAAAATGAAAACCCCATATTACTCATATCACGTTGATAAGGAAATTAAAAGTGTGAGTTTTATTTTCCAATTTCTTTTTTAAATTGCGCGACTTTATTGGCGTCTTTGTATGGTTAATAAGAAATTTGAATATATCACGAGGCACGATGGCGTGTGGTTTGTGATTCATTCGATATAATATCGTATTTTTAGAATTTAAAATCATAAAAGTTTCGATTTGGTTATAATTAAAATCAAAATTTTATTTTTTCTAATAAATGACATCATAATGTTTTATCACTTTGGCTTTGGTTTTTATAATAAAAAGGTTGATTCTCATTATTGGGCTAGACGTTCTTCTCATAAAGCACCAATTACTCCACCTGAAAAAACTAAACGGGAACTTTTATTTCCTTCTGGATTTTGTGATGAAAAGTCTCTAATGGTTCCAGAAGAAGTGATTGGTAAGTTTCTCAATATGGTAACAATGTTTTATTTTAAGACCTTTTAATTCTAGAATTTTTATGTCAATATTAAAAAAAAAATTGAAAATTGTCTTAGATCAACAAGTTACGAGCGAATTAGAAGATCTTTATACTCGTTTTCATAAATGTCTTGATTTGCGTGACAAATATATGGAATTATCGTTGCAAAGGTTAGGAGATAATCCTAAAGATCATGATATTTGGAAAATTTATCCTATCCCACCACAACCAACATGGAATTCACTATCAAATAATTCTCGATCATTTTCGGATGATTCATTATCATCTTCATACTATAAAAATGAAAAGAAAGGAGTTGGTGAAAACTTTGATTTTGAGAAATGCGAAATTCCTGAAGAACATGAGGTATGTATATTAATCGCTAATTATGTTTCGCGTAAAGTATTATTATTAAAATGATTTTAATTGTTTCAGTATAATTTCAAATTAAATGAAAGTGGTGTTTATAATGTTCATAAAACACAAGAAGGTAATTAATCTGAATTATCAATAATTAAACGTAGTAAATTGGTAAATAATGTTTAAATTTATATATAAATTAGATCTTGATAATAATCGATCAGCCTACGAGGTTCCAAGTGCCAAGGATTATTTTATGGATCTTGAGCAAATTTTAGAAACGATTTCCGATGGTCCAGCAAAAAGTTATGCATATAAAAGATTGTGTTATTTGGAAAGTAAATGGAACATGTATTCATTATTACGAGAATATCAGGAAATTGCCGATTCAAAGGTTAAGTATAAAATGTATTATACATATTTTGAACCTGCGTGAAATCGTTATATATATATATATATATATTATTTTTTTTTTTACTTAAATTAGAGAGTTCCGCATAGAGACTTTTATAATGTTAGAAAGGTTGATACCCACGTGCATTTGTCCTCATGTATGAATTCTAAGCATTTGCTTCGATTCATTAAATCGAAATTAAAAAAATGTCCAAAAGTATGTAATATTTCTATTGAAGGTTTATGATATTTTTTTACCCGTATTGATATTCCTTACAATATGTAGGATGAGGTTATTTTCAGAGATAGCAAAGTGCTTACCCTCGAACAAGTTTTTAAGAGTTTGAACTTGACTGCATATGAACTCAATATTGATACTTTAGATATGCATGTAAGTTAATATTATTGGAAAGTACATTTTTAACGCTTCTTATTTATTAAAACAATAATTAAAGGCCCATACAGATTCGTTCCATCGATTCGATAAGTTTAATTTGAAATATAATCCAATCGGCGAATCTCGTTTAAGAGAAATCTTTCTAAAGACTAATAATTATATTAATGGAAGATATTTTGCTGAACTTACTAAAGGTAATTATTATTTTGACTTTAAAACGGGTTAAATATCAATTTATTACTTTTTATTTTTTATAGAGGTGATTTCAGACTTGGAGGCAAGCAAGTACCAAATGGCAGAATACCGTATTTCTATTTATGGACGGTAATGTCAATAGTTTTATTATATAAGTTATTAATAAATTCATATTAATCATCTTTTACAATTTATTTAGTTCCAAATCAGAATGGGACTTGCTTGCAAAATGGGTCATAGATAATAAAATAATGTCACCAAATGTACGTTGGTTAATACAGATACCAAGACTTTATAGTGTCTACAAAGGAACAGGAACTGTTGAAAGTTTTGAATGTGTGATCAAAAGTAATTGTTATGATAATTTATATAATTTTAGCATTTCGTAGGATTGATGATTCTGACTATTCCAAACTTTTATTAATAGACATATTCGAACCTTTATATGAGGTTACCAAGGATCCTAGATCTCATCCCGAATTACACATTTTCCTTCAACGCGTGGTAGGATTTGATAGTGTTGATGATGAATCTAAAGCTGAACGTCGTATACACAGAAAATATCCATGTCCCAAAGAATGGAATACTTTGCTTAATCCACCATATTCATATTATTTATATTACATGTTTGCAAATATGATCAGCTTGAATCAATGGAGAAAGGTCAGAGGCTTTAGTAAGTGTGTTTGATATATAATTTTAAATTATATTTTTCCCAACTTGAATTTAACGCATTAATGAATCAGATACATTTGTCCTTCGACCTCATGCTGGTGAAGCTGGTGATACCGATCATTTAACTTCTGCTTTCCTGACATCACAATCTATTTCTCATGGTATATTGTTACGCAAAGTCCCTGCATTACAATATCTTTATTATCTTAAACAAATTGGAATTGCTATGTCGCCTCTATCAAATAACGCATTGTTCTTGAATTATGAGAGAAATCCATTGTTGAGTTTCTTTCAAAAAGGGTTAAATATAAGTTTGAGTACAGATGACCCATTACAATTTCATTATACAAAGGAACCATTGATTGAAGAATATAGCGTTGCTGCTCAGGTATATATTTTATTAATATGCAACTTTCTTTATTTATTTTGCAAAGCTAATATTAATTATTTTTTCCTAATTCTAAAAGATTTGGAAATTGTCAGCTTCAGATATGTGTGAACTTGCGCGTAATTCAGTTGTGCAAAGTGGATTTGAAATTGCAGTCAAGAGACATTGGTTAGGAAAAGATTGTCACCTACCTGGACCAGAAGGAAATGGTAAGTTTAGAGAATTTTATTTGATACTTTTCATTTTTGTACTAATAATGTCAAAACGTAAAATAAACACGTTTTATTAACTAATATAATAGATATTAATAAAACGAACGTTCCTCTTATCAGGATGAAGTACCGTTATGATACATTAAAGGAAGAATTTGACATGGTAGAAAAATATTCAAAAATCAAGAAACCTATTGTATTTCCGGGAATTATGATTCAAAATGATGAGAAAATTCCTAATCCAGTCGCAGATAAGGCTACCAGTGATAGCGCACCCTCAACACCTGGAGGTAGTAATAAATCATTCTTTTCAGATTTTAATATTGGTATTATACCTGGTGTAGCAATGTTTGCAGACAAAGAAAATGCAAATAGAAAAAATAAAACTTATCGAGATAGATATACTGAGGATTTAACGAATAGTAGAAATAATTTATTAGAAAGTGAAAAATGAACAGTTTGATAATTGAAATTTATTTATTATTATTTTATTTTATTTCAGATATTACATACATAATACATAATATATAATATATATAATATAGTATTATAATATAATATATATAACGATAACTATTGTTGTTTGATTATGACAATGACTGTTGAGAAGATGATCATATAAACTGGATTTTAGAAATAACACGTTAGATAATTAATAATATAAATAAATCATCAAATTATTATTCAATACTTCGTTTGTCACGTGTATTTTAATAGTGACTGACGATTTTTTTTTGATCGCGCTTTTTTTTTTTTGTGCTTTCAATTTCAACAAGAATGCATGGACAAAACATGAAAATGAATTACGAATATGGTATATAGTCCTGTTGTTTATTTCCATAACTTCAAAGAAACGATTATTCTTGCCGAAGGATTTTAACGCGTTATTTTTTCCTTTCACATAGTTAATCATAAATATAAAAAATATGTCGAACATAGTTATTCACCAAGGCACATGGAGTCGTCAAGCGGAAGCACTTATAGGCAAGAGGCTCGAATTCCGTATGGTCAAAAACTTAAAGTTGCAGGGGAGAGAGTAGAGAAAGAAATAGCAGATATTGAACGCTGGGAGGTTCATCACATTATTTCAAAAAGATATACGAATGTAGGTATTTTATTAATCAAAATTTTTTTTTTAATTTCAGTGTTGCTTATTGAATTTTACGAAATAAAATTAGGGGAGACCGGAATTTCTCGTTTATTGGAAAGGATACTCAAAGCCCTCGTAAGTTTATGATAATGATCATATCATTCTAATTGTATACAAGGTAACTATCTAATCAATTAATAAATTATCACAGTTGGGAACCAGCTGAAGTTCTGGATAATTGCCAAGAAGTAATTGATGAATTTGATCGACTTTGTCTTGATATAGATATGGACGTGGATAATGAGGAATCAGAGTTGACTATAGTTGATACTCGAGATGAAATTAAAAAGATCGATCATCAACTTCGTGAAAGCTATCATAATATCAAATTTGATGATTCAATTTATGAAAGGGTTATCTTGGGAAGTTCAATTCCATATCATACAGGACCAAAAATTGAACAATTACATTTCGATGATTTCGATGAAGATTTCGACTTGGTTTGCTCATCCCTTGTATGATGAATATTAGGGGAGAATTTGTTTTGTGTGTTCGACAATGTTACTCCTATTTATATAATTCAAGTTACAAATAATTGGCAAACTAATCGTGCTACCATCAATTCAAAAGAAGTTAAATCATTTTCACAAGAATTTTCACAAGAATTCTCAAAAGAAATGTTTATATTATTTCAAACTATATTTAGGTGCCATTCAATCACAAAAAATCAAAATAAGTTATACAATTAAGGAATATGTCATCATTGTACGTGATTCGCTATTTAATTCATACTAACTTTAAACATAAATAAAATAAATTTCAAATGAAATTACCATAAAAATCATAAAAATCAATATTTGAGTAACGGGCTATTAATAATATTAAGCATTATTATTATCACCTTGTTCTATTAAATAAAAAAACGAAAAAAAAAAAAGAAAAAAAAAGCAACCTTCTTCAATACCACACGTTTCTACAAATTTTTGTTTTGTAATTAAAACTAAAATAACCAGTAAAGAATGTAGGTATCGCAGGCTTTAAAGTCTTGTAGTTGCAATTTTGAAGAATGAGAATGTTTTTATTTGTTCAAATTACAACTTTAGTTTTGAATTCCTCCTTTTAAATTCTTCTGTGTTTTCAACTTACGACTATTGTCAAGCGTACTATAGAACTACCAAATGTTTTTTAATATTAAATAATTTCTTTGACTTGAATTTTTTAATATAGGTCTTCCAATAATTATGACCCATTTGTTCCAAAAGACGGTGCCGCTGGCGGGCCACCCTCAAAAACTCAACATATTCAAAAACAAATTGATGATACAGTTGGTATTATGCGTGAAAATATCAACCAAGTGGCTCAAAGAGGTGAAAGATTAGATGCATTACAGGACAAGACCGGTAAGTTCATCTATTAAAAAATTATATTTAGTATTATATTTAAATTAATGAACGAATAAATTAATGTTCGTTTACTTTCTTTACATAGAAAATTTGACCGCATCTGCACAAGGCTTTCGTCGTGGTGCTAACCGCGTACGTAAACAAATGTGGTGGAAAGACATGAAAATGAGAATTATTATCGCCTTTGTAATAGTCGTTATATTGTTGATGATAATTTGTGAGTAAAAAAAAAAGAATTTTTAATTATTTTCTTGATTTAAACAATAAATTATTCTAATTTCTTTTTTCTTTTATAGTGCCAATTGTCCTCAAAAAAGACGATACAAAGAAATAAGTTACTTTAATTCTTTCTTGGTAAATAAGAGGTTGCATTTTATTCCATCACCTTCCTTTCTTTTCGATAATTTACAATCAATTGATTCTTCTCGTGTTATTATTATGTTTTTCTTTCTTTTGACCAAATTATTTAGTATCCTAGTAATATTAATTTTTACTTAATACATTATAATGATATTTTTCTCGTCCATATTATTATTTTATGATGAGTTATTCTTTTTTTTTTTTTTTTACGCAATAGATATAAGATTTGTTTTTATTTTGAAAAAAAATAATTTTTATCAATATCTATTTGCTGTCTGTTTATTGTTTATCAATGGGCTTTAATTTTTTTTTTTTTTTTCACTTTCGCAGTATTTTTTTATTATCTGTAAATTACGAGAATTTATCTTGCATAGGTTAAATAAAACATTTTAAAAGTCTTATATAAAATATTAAAATATTTGATCTTTAAAAAATTTTTTAATTTCGTTATTTACATATCATTTACCGATATAATCTATCCGAAAATGTAAAAGTTTAGGAATGTAACCTCTCATCGGAGTTGGGTATTCATATAACGTTATCCGATCAAATTAATATTTTCAAGCTTATTTACCCATTTGGAATATAATTTAAATTTTCAAATGATCTGATCAAGCTTTATATTACTAAATATAGAAACGCCTTGACACGGGGGCTAGATTCCCAAATATTGAAATAAATTATGCGTCACGTGACAAATACAGAAAAATATATGCCCCCTATATAAATAAATTTTATAAAAACATTGTTCGCAATTCGTTAAAGAATTTTGGTAAATTCTTTCTTTGATTGGTTAATCGTCAAATGTCTGCTAAACTTCGTTGGGAATCGATATACATTACGATTTCATGTTTTTTCTCTTTTAACGTTTCAAATAATTTTGAAATTCTGCATTCAGAAATTTGTTTCAATGTCACGGTCAATTTTTTCTTGCCACGATGGCTCTTCAAATTTACCAAAGAAAAAAAATACACGTGAAACTATAGCAAGTATTGTTTTAGATACTATTTACCGAGATTTGTCACAAGAGAAATTGCAATATTAGGATATATACTTTCGAATCTCGATAACAATTATGATATAACTACCCTGAACCAATTATTTTAGAATTAGAAAAGCTCCGATATGATAGAAATTTTATTTATATATAAACTCTAAAATGTGTTAAACTTTAAAAACGATATAAAAGACGTTGTTCTATATTCCATATACTTTTTAATCACTTAAATCAGTGTAAAAAGAATTGATAAAAAAAGTATTACAAAAATTGTAATGAGAAAAGTTTACGAAACTTATGCTTGTATTTAATAAGACATGAAATGAGAACAGTAACTACGTCACTAGTCAAAGACGCGACTATCCTGTAGAAAGTTTATAAATAACATCCTTCTTCCCTTCAATATTTGCAAACCCTTTCTTTCTCTTTCCCTTTTTTTTTTCTTTCGCTCCTTTCTTTCTTACGATAACCTAACAAAATATATCTCCTTGTTATTTATTTAAGTAACTTCAACAAAAGTTAAAGAGTTATCCTCAAAACCAAATAAAGGTTTATTTTTTTCGAACAAAAATCATTTGGTGAGTAAAGCAAGTTTCTAACGAGTATAAGATATATCGAAAAATACAAAGGCGTGAATATAAATTATACGATACGAGAAGATTATGGTCATGTCTTTTTATGATTGTAGTTAACGATAATTTCTAACATAAATAACTCCCCAAGGATATTTTGTCACGAACTCTCCATGCAATCAAGTTCAGTGATGAAAACAGATAAAAAGAATAGAGACGAAATTAATCTTTCGATAGAACAATTATGTGATAACCTTAATGAAGGTTTACTGCGCCATTAATCTTTTCGCATTATCCTCAAGTTATAATACGCGTTATCTCTCATTTCGTTACCTCTAAATTGAGATTTATGTTCATTCCTTTGTACCGTATAGCGAGCTTTATCATGACTCCACATGGAAAACATCCTCAAAATAAGAAAGATAAAGAAGTTAGTCCTGCTAACTCTGAAGATTCAACATCATCAGGTCATTCCAGCCGTTCAAGTGATCAAACTAGCTCTACTCTTCTTTCTGAAAACTCTTTGTATGAAAATAAGTTTATGGAAGATACAAAGTTAAACGGAAATTCTTTCTACTATAATGGACGTTATAGTCAAGTACTCTTATTTTAATACCTAAATTCTAGTTTATTTTTTTCAAGCTAACTTTTTTTCAACTTCTAATGTTTTCAACCATCTCTCTTTTAAAGTCAAAGATAATGAAAGATGATATTAGATTACATCAAAGTTCACCGATCACCTATCTAACTGACGAAGTTATGCTTCATACACGATCTGTCGAATCAACCATGCAAGGAAAAGTTCCTAAAGAATTCGTAATTCCACAGACAAATCCGCGATCTGCTTGTATCACGTGTATCTATGGAAACATTCTATTGAAACCTTGTGGTCATAGGTATTTCTCATTTTATTAATACAGTATATATTAGCGATGTATAAGGTTTAACGAAAATGAAATGTATCAAAGGATGTGTGAATCATGTGTTAAACAATTGCGTTGTAATACGGTGACAAATTCTTTCAAGACATACTCTGAATGCAAACACTGCGGAAAGGTAAATCTCTTAATTTCCTTTTCGTTAAATAATAAACAATTTTTATTCATATCAGTATTATTATCATTAATTAGGCTATTGCAGAATTTAAAACAATTTCTTCAATTCCGCTTGGAGGAGGTTTCTTTCCAACTCCGTTAAGCTCTTGTGACGTGACGCAAATTACGAATAATGTACAATCAAGTGTGCAAAACGTTCCGGAACAAGTTCCTTTCGGTTCAGTTTCTTGGGTTTTCCCAGGTATAACGCCTTCAAATGACCCACCAGGAATGCAATCTATGACCGGCGTCATTGCTAATAGGTCCCAGCAAATCCAATTTGGAGACCTTAGCAAACTAGCGGTTCCGCATAAATGGCCTGTTGTAAAGATTACAAATGTAAATTTAAAATGTGCATTTTGGTACTTTAATATATTAATTATTTCTTTGAGGACTTAAAAACAAAAAATTTCTCGATAATAATTAAAGATTCCTTGGGATATTTCCTTGAAGGAAGTAAGGACTTTTTTCTCGGCTTTCAAGATGCCTAGCATATCTTTGTATGGGCAGAATATTCATATTATCATGGATCGGTAAGTGACATGCCGACTGTTTAATAATAAATAACCTTTCGTATATAGAAAACCAATAAATTTCTATTTAACATCAACAGTTCAACAGGCAAAACTCTCTCTGAGGCTTATATTGAATTTGCAACAGTTGCAGAAGCGCAACATGCAGTGGATGCACGTAATATGAAACCTTTAAAGGGACGTCTTATCTCGTGCATTAGATCATGTCATGAAGATTTGATGAGAGCGGTGTTTCCAAAGTGGAAAGGAGAATTTTCCGGATGTGATGCGGTAGTCACTGACGAGCTATTACAATCAACTCGTTTTGTGTCGCGCATTCCTCTTATCACGAGAGAAGAGATTAACTCACTTCTCGTGGTTTGTCGTAATTATAAGGTAATTGAACAATAATATTTGAGTCACGTGCTCTATTTTAATTGGTACAATTAATTTGTTCCCTTTATTTTTCAAAAAAGCTCCATTTCTCTCGTAAATGCGCAGAACGTCCATTTGAGAATATCATTAGTGTTCTCGTTAAGGTAATTATATCGTATTAAAAAAAAAAAGATTTATAATTTATAATTATACTCATTCCTGTGTAGTTTCCTTTTCACCAAGGAAATCTTTATACCACGCTGCAACGTGATCTTTTGTTTGAGATGTTAAAGCGTAAGTATTGACAAAAATGTAAAAAAAAAAATGATGTTCGTAATTATATACTAAATTGGCTTTTACTCTAGTCTCAATCGAATCGCTCAAAATTCATTTGCGCAAGGAATACCATCGTATTGATGAAACCCTATTGGAAAGAATGGTAACTTTTTAACACGTGATTTAAATTATATTTCAATTTGAATTTGCTGCGGGAGCAGCACGAAACTTAACGGTTGTTTATTAAGGTGCGAGCTGGTATTTTGACGCCTGTATTCACTGAACGACAAAAATCAATGATTCTTCAAGTGTCTAATCTGAAACTCCCCGAGGATTTACAAGATCATTTATTTCCTTATCAGAAGGATGAAGAATTGCTGCAAGTCGGCTCGGATTATACTCAAAATGTATTTAATTAGTTTGTTTTCATCTTTTAATCTTTATAATCATTGAATTCATTTTATTATACATAAATTTGATCAGCAACCCGATCAAACTTCATCCGCCATATCTGACTCGGTAGGATTGGACCTACTTCCCTCAGGATTACTTGACGTGAAACCTAACGAATTAAGTTGCGAATATAAAGATGAACTTGATCCTTTCAAAAATGATTATAAGACGAAGGCAAATTTCCTCCATAAAGAATGTAAGTTATTTATATATCTCCAATCCACGATGTAATGTGATTAATGTTTTCCAATAATTATAATACAATAGTGAAGTTAGCACAATCACAAGTCAAAACTGCAGCGGCTAATATACCTCGCATTACAATTCCTACGTTTATTCATCCACCAACTCCTCGAAATGGTCCAATTCAAGCATTTGATGTATGGAATAGATTAAATGAAAGACGATACAAGGATTTAGGAGGGTTAGCAAATTATATTATAAAAATATGATAAAAATACTTTTTTACTTGTAAAGAATTGCTTATTAATGTCACAGCTTCACGATTGGAAGATCACAAATTCTGCCTCAAAACAGAAGGCCGTACTTTATGAGTCCAACGGGAAGACAACAAATTGTTCCTTCACCTGCACATTCTCATCAACCTTGGAGTTTGCCTATTCAGCAATACTTTGATGATAATCCTTTTTTCGTTAAAAAACCACAAAAATAATAGCTCTGCTTAATTTATAATTGCTATTATATACATATGTATACAGAAAATTATTTTCATATTAGCTTATAGTACTTAGCAACTTTGATGTATATTTTAATGTATCTCAATTATATTATAATAATGCGATTTAAATTTATAATCTAATTAAAACAAAACTCGCGATACTATGATTAGTAGAAAATGTGAATATTATTGTTAGTTTTATTTCAAAATCATCATTTACAATTTCATAATTGCTTGTCAAATATCAATGGTGATTCTTATAAATACGGTTAGAAAAATAAAGAACGCCACGATTAAACAGTACGTTTTTGACAAGTCATGATAATCTTTTTATTATTCGAATAATGGAATGCGTCACGTTAATGACACAGACGAATTAGCTGTGTCACGACGTCACGTGAATATATATAAGATTAGATAAACATTCAGATTTGCACCTCATCAAATGGAATTCTCGATAAAAGAAATGACGATCTTCCCCACATCACCGACAAAAAAACTCGGGCATGTGACTTTTGTGGCTTAAGTACTGCGCAGTTTTTCTCAATTAATTTATTACTTAATAGGTGTTTATTACACGTTTAGATTTCGCATCTATTAATTTTCGTGTATTTATTTTTTTGACTTTTGTTATCAATATCAATAAATAAAAGAAAAATAAAAAAAATTTGTCTCTAAGCATATCTTTTTTTTTTTTTTTTTTTTTTTTTTTTTTTTGATGTGGCTCTGCCAACTATTTTATTAAGATTTATAGATTTTTCCGAAGAAAATAAAAGAAATTACAAGTAATGA